GCCACCGCGCCCGGCTAATTTTTGTATTTTTAGTAGAGATGGGGTTTCGCCATGTTGGCCAGGCTGGTCTCAAACTCCCGGCCTCAGGTAAGCCACTCTCCTCAGCCTCCCAAAGTGCCAGGATTATAGGCATGAGCCACTGGTGCCCAGCCTAGAAGAGGTTTATACTAGTGGTTTCAAATGTGTTTAGGTAGCAGAACTGTTGACATTAAGGAAGGAAACACCCATATCCTACTAGTGGTTATGTAAAGAAGGGAACCATTCTGAGAAGCAATTTGGTAGGGGTGGGGGCGGGGGAATCATATTATAAGATATTCATTTCAGCAGTATTTAAAACACCCAAAATCCCTGTGAACAACCTGGATGTTTAAATTATGATCTATGCAGACATTAAGTCTATAAAATAAAGACACATACAGGTAAAGATGTTCACTGTATTTTTTCTTAAAAGAAAAAAAAAGCAACAAGCTAGGATTATTTGCATGAACCAAGTTTAGACAAAAATCAAACATTCTGGTAGACTATACAGTAGTGTCTAGATGGTAGGTAAGGCATATATGATGTCTATCTTCTTTTTGCTTATCTACATCTACAGTATTTTTGACCTACCTATATCTAGTTTTCTTCAACAAAGATGCACTCCTTATACAAGGAAAAAAAAAACCCCAATTAGTTGCTATGCAACCAATTAGAATATCTGATTCAGCTCAAACATCACCGTAGACACAACAAAAGAGGTCAAAAGCTGGGGAGGGAGTGTGGATCCAAAAAAGATGAAAGTTAAAGACAATCTACATTTTTTCCCAGTAAACTGGAACTACATTAAGACTGGTATATGAAATGTCATAGTCCAGCATACAGCACACCAGCATTTCGCAGGGACATAGATTGCAAGCTACAGTAAGGAACTGCTTGGCTTTCTAACTTTGAATGAAAAACTCTGAGCTGATAGGAAGGCTGATTGTCCCCAGATGCTGTGGTTAATGAGGTGCATCTAACAGAGCACATGTTCAGTTTAATGGAAGGATAAAAATCCCACATAAAGAAGAACAGGTATTCTTTTCTAATTTTAGAATACAACTAAATGTGGTGTGTATCTTGCTACTCCATATCAGTGTCTTCTCATCTTACTGACAAGACCTCCAATTTCCATGGTGTATATATGGTATATTACGGCACGGTTCAATTTACTCTCTGAACTGACAATATTTTATATAAAATACTTCCTTGTCATACAAAATGTCTCCTATCTTTGTCTATAAAATGTTTTTAAATGGTAACCACCATTTTTCATGAAGATTACTTTAAAATGCCATCTTAAGCCATTTTGTTCCACTATGAGAATGCACCCTGATATAAGTGCTGTTTTCGACTTAGAAAAAAAAAAATCAAATTCTGTTATTTCTTTAGAATCCTTCCCCCTCACCCCTTAGGGAAATAAGCATATTTCTGTTTATAAGGAATAGGGATATAGTAATAGGTGAACTGAAGAAGACCCTAGTAACACTTTTGTGTTTACCCTGTTGTATTCCGTTGTCAGAATACATGAGCCCAACTGAACAAAAGTGTTACTAGGGTCTTCTTCAAACTCCAATTTAAAAAACAAAAATCCATATACACAATAAAAGCCCATCTAGTCTTAAACAAAAGAACACATTTACCCTTTTCAAACATACATCTCACTTGACTTTAAAATCATTAGGGTCAACCATGGGACACTGCTGTGTATTTATTTCAGAGCATCCCATTCATACTACAACAGTACAGCATACTACCTTCAACTGGGGAATGGCTTCTTCACGTTTTCCCAAATGACAAGTCTGCTGGATCGCAGAAGCCAAGCCCACTGTGCAACAGCTGACAATGCCACCAATTTCTGTGGTGTTTATGGTATGTTTTAGCACATCACAAATAAGGTATGGGACTAGCTGAATGTGATTTTTAAAGGAGTGATCTTGGAACTTTTTGTTTGCTTTAAGGACGATGCCTGTGTAGAAAACACTTTAGGCCGGGTGCTGTGGCTCACGCCTGTAATCCCAGCTCTTAGGGAGGCAGAGGCAGGAGGACAGCTTGAGCTCAGGAGTTCGAGACCTGCCTGGGCAATATAGCGAGACCCCGTTCTCCACAAAAAGGAAAAAAAACAAAAAGACAAAAAAAAAAAAAAAAATTAAACCCTATAGAATTCACTTCAAAATCTACATGCAGCATGTTTCCTGAAAACCCTGCAGTTTTAGGTCAGTTTTATTCGCCCAACTGGGTACCTAACTCCTACTGGTCTCAATCTCCCATTGGAGTCCCTAAGAGAACCTTCCTCTACCCCCACAATCTCGGCAGGCTCCCGCAACCCACTGTCAAGGCCTCACAAACTCTCCCAAGTGCAAAAGGTACTATGCCACCTCAATGGGTTCTCAGGCTTCAAATGTTTCCTTAATAAAGCAGTGGATTCTGCAGGCCAGTGGTGCCCAACGCACCACCCATGAGCCAGTCACTTGTCACATTTGAGCACTTGAAATATGGATAGTATGACCGAGAAAACATTTCAATTTAACTGAATTAAATGGCTCTGGCCTGACTGGCAAGAGAGTTAAGTTGATCACCTCAATAATGAAAACCCGGTCAGGCGCGGTGGCTCACTCACGCCTGTAATCCCAGCACTTTGGGAGGTCGAGGCCGGTGGATCACCAGAGATCGGGAGTTCAAGACCAGCCTGACCAACAAGGAAAAACTCCATCTCTACCAAAAATGCTACTCGGGAAGATGAGGCAGGAGAATCACATAAACCCGGGAGGCAGAGAGCCGAGATCGTACGGCTGCACTCCAGCCTGGATGACAGAGCGAGACTCCGTCTCAAAAACAAAACAAAACAAAAAACACCTGCAGATATACATGGATTTTTAAAGCAATATTCCTTCATATATGAGAACATCATCTAAAGGGAACAGCAGACCAACTGTATTTCCCAGAAGGAACTCTACTCTGGAGAATTTTACAGACCTTCAGTTTGAACATATCCCAAAGAATTCACATTCTAGATTTTAAAGCATTTCTGAAGACCCACGTGCGTACTTCTCTTGTGGCCACTTTGGCTAATTTTAGCTACTCCATATTCTACGGATTTGCAATTACGCCGCAATGGAAAAGTCTGGAATGAACACCTCAAGGCCAGAACGCCTCTCAAGTTTTCCGGCGTGAGCTGGGCGCCCATGCGACAGGCAAGCACGTGGCGGGCACAAAATGTCTGACGGAAGGTCGAAAGAATGCCCGCCCGCGACCCTCCATCTCGGAACCCCGGAGCCGCCCACCCTCGCGGGCCCGCCGGTAGCGACAGTGCCGTGCGGTGGATTCCGGCCCGCCCCGCGTGACTGGGGACCTCAAGGAATAGGGAGCAAGGATATAAACGTCGAACACACCGGGTAAACCCTGGTCGACGAATTCCCCCAAGTTCGCGACTTGTTAACCACAGCCGCCTGAGGACACGAAACCCGGTTGCTCGCTAGCCCGGAGCGTGGAGGGAGGCCCTCGGCGGGAAAACCATTCGCCCACGGGGGCACCCGGCCGCGCCAAACCCGGGAGACGAAAGGGGCGATTCCCACAGGCCGGACCCACGCCCACGCGGCCGCGCTGCACTAGCGCGGGTGTCGGGTCCCTACACCGCGGATGGCGCGCGGCCGGCCGCATCGGGCAGCTCTCGAGCACGTGGGAGGCCAGAAGCCGCCTGGTCGCCTAGTCCACGAGCCGAGCCCAGCAGAGGCCCGCCCGAAACCCAGCGCGCCCGGCCCGGCGCGAGGGCGGCCGCTTGCCGTTGCCCTTTTAAGAAGGGGGAGGGGGTCGGCAGCGCGCCCGCGAGGGGATGAGTCGGCGGCTGCCGCGCTACGCGGCTCCCGCCAGTGCGAGCCACAAGTCCGGGCGGGGCTGGGGGACACAGACCGAGGGCTCGGCGCGGGAAGAAGCGGCCGACACAGCCAGCGTCGAGGGCGGGCGGGCAAGGCCGAGCTCGTGGGTCGGCTCGCCCGGCGGAGGGAGACGGGCACCCGCCAACATGGCGCTGCGGCGGCCTGTGGCGCGCCCCGGCTGGCGTGAGGAGCCACATCCCGCCCACACCGAGGGGCCAGCCTCCCGGGGCAGGGTAGGGGCCCCGGGCTCCGTCGCCGCGGCGCGGGGGAAGGGGGAAGCCGTCGCCACAACGGGTGGCCCCGGCCGACCTGGGCTGCCCCTGGGAGGCCGGAGTGGTCAAGGCAGAGGGCGAAGACCGAGCGAGGGAAACGGGAGAAAGTTTTATTTTTAGGCTTGAAAAATGGCGGGAACCGCGTTCTTTTTTCAAACTTGGCCTCGGGAGGGGCGGCGGTTGCGCCACCTCCGCCGCCCGGGCCCGCCCCTCCCCCGCTCTGCGCGCCAGGCCGCGCCCGCCCAGGCCCCCGGGCGTCTGAGGGGGCTTCTCGCTCCCTTCAAAGGAAAAAAGCCCCCTCCTCTGCCCACGGCCGCTGCCCTCGGCTGGGCCGGCGCCCACTGCGAGCCCCGGCCGGAGGAGCCCCCGCCCCTTCCCCGGCCGGCCTGGGGCGCGCGGAACCCGGCCTGGCTCAGGCGGCGCTGGCCGCGCAGCTCCTCGGCAGGCCCGGCCTCCGCCCGGTCGCGCATCCCGGGAGGCTGCAAACATGGCTCCCAGCGTTACACAACCCCCGCCTCCCTCCCTCGCCGCCGGCCACTCGCACACGCGCTCCCTCCAGGGAAAGACCCTGGCGGGCGAGGCGCGCAAAGTTTGCTTTCCCCCACACCGCTGCCTTCCCCCGGCCGCCCCGGGGGCCCGCGGGCGGCAAAGAGTTAATCCCCGCGCGCGCGCTCCCCCCTCCGCGCCCGCCCGCCCGCCCGCCTTCCCAGTCCGAGCACACGAGCTGCGCTCTTCCCCGCGCCGGGGCCGGCGAACCCTCGGCCCGGGCTCGCAGGTGGCCACCATTACATGCAAGTCATCGGGGGAGAGGGCGCCCGGAGGGGGCTCTGCTTACTGCTGCCGGGGTCCGGTTCCTCAGCTCCAGGTGGATCCTCCTCTTCATGTCCATGTTCCCCTCTTCCCCCCTCTTCAAACTTAACTTTCCGCGGCGGGGGCGGAGGGGGGAGAGGCGTCCCGGCCTGCGCAGCGAGGGCCGTCGGAAGGGTTTGCTCGCGGCGGAGGCCGGCGGCGCGGTCCTGGGCGGCTGGCGGCGTGCGGGCAGGCGAGCGGAGCCCCCGGAGCCAAGTTACTCACGGGAGCGGAGAGAAACCATGGAGGGAAAAGGGGGCTGGAGCGCAGCACTGGGCTCTCTACTGCCGCCCCCGGCCGCGGCCCGCACTGCGCTTAAACCGGCGACGCGGCGCGGCAGCTGCTCGGCTCCACTCGGCACCGCGCGGCGCCGCTCGGCTCGGCGGCCGCGACTGCACCAAAGACGGGGCGGGGAGACGCGCGGCGGGCGGGGCGGAGGCTGGGGGAAAGGCGCAGCCCCGGGAAAGGAGTGACTTCCTCCCTCCTTCCCTCCGATTGCACGTGGGCGGCTGATGTAAGACCTTCCTCTGGGGGGGTTTCCCCGCCCCCCGCCGAGCTGAGACTCCCTTCACACCCGGGCCTCACCTCGCAGCCCCCGGAGCTGAGTCTGTGGCTCCGGCCGGGAGGTGAGCGGCAAGGGCTGGCGAGAGGCCTTGCAGTCCGGCTTCGGGGATCCCTAAAGCCCAGTCCATCTGCGGAGGTTCATGGGGCCGGCCCGACGCCCGCGGAGGCGCGAGATGTGAAGCCCGGGACAGAGGCTTTGAGGTTCACCTTGTGCCTCCCACACAGTCTGGGGCCAACAGGCGAACCCCGCTGCCTCCTTGGCAGAGTGGCGTCCAGAGTGCCGCCGAGGAACCCCCCCCGCCACGGCCACCGCGGGATTTCGGGACGGAATCGCGGTCGGCTGGCCCCAGTAGGGCAGCTGGGGCCGCTTGCTAAGCCACAGAGCAGCCCAGCATCCCCACCCGTTCAGGAGAGTTAGTCTCCTGGTTTTCTAACATTTTAATAAGAAGGTAGAGAAGGAAACAATTAGCATTTCTAATAGGGCCTCTGGGTTCCCTCACCCCGGCAGACTTTTTATCTCATTTATTCCTTAGGGCACCCCTGTGAGGTGTGTAAATTCTTGGTGGTCTAAGTTTCGTTGAAACCTGGCAGGCAGCCTTTGTCATGGTCTGGCTCAGAGGGTCCCAGGGGTTAGAGTACCAGTTCTGGGTGACTGTGCTTTGCAGACCACCGAGGAGTAACGTTATATTCATCATAAAATAAGTAAATACATAACGTGTCAAATAAAATACAATCTGAGAAGATTGTACTGACAAGAAGCACCAAAAACTTAAGAATTTAATAGAGAAAAATGAAATTCTTCTATACATTAGCCTAAAGTTTTATGGAAGTTAAGAAAGTGCCCCCTTTCTATTTTACCTAAGTTTATTTAGTGGCAAAGAACCCAAACTTAGTTGTAAGCCAATTATGTATCAATTTTAAAAATACTGAGTTAACATTTGAAGGTGAAAGTTTTAGAAAGAATATGGGAAAAGAAAAACTTTCTAGTATGTAGTTCCTGACTCCTGTTGTCTCAGCAGCCCTCTTTATGACAAGGGAAAATGGAGATAGATGTTCTCAAGACGTTACAAGAGGTCTGTAGCTAAGGTTATGAGAACCACAGGGCTATGCAGTGAGGGCTTTTACAAAAACTACCAAATCGGGTTCATGAGCCAACAAGCAATTATTGAGCATCTGCTTCAAGGGCCTTTTTTTTTTTTTTTTTTTAATTAAAAAAATTTTTTAAGATGGGGTTTCACCATGTTGGTCAGGCTGGTCTTGAACTCCCGACCTCAGGTGATCCACCCACCCGCCTTGGCCTCCAAAGTGCTTGGATTACAGGTGTGAGCCACCACGCCCGGCCAAGAGGCTTGATACTATTTCTCTAATTCTCAGACAACTTTCTGAAATAGGTGATAATTTGATCATTTTACAGATGAGGAGCTTAGGCTCAGGAACCTTAAGCTGCATGTCCAGCAAGAAGCGAGTAGAATTTAGACCCAGATGGGTCTGACTCCATAGCCCACCATTTTCTGCTACATCATCAGTCTGGCTAGAGTGGAGTCATAGCATGGTGGGGGGCTGCTTTGGTGCCCTAGGTTGGAAACAGTTGCAGAGGGATTTTCATACTAAACAGCATCCAGGTGTCCTCTTGCAGGAAAAGCCGTGGAGGGTGCTGAAGGAGTCTTAAATGTGGTAGCTCTGTGCTAGAGATCGGTAACCTGGCGGCTCCTAGAGGAGGTAGTATTAATCCTTAGCATCAGGGCAAATCTTGAGACTCTGTCCTCTATGGCCCACTGGAGGATATGAAGGACTCTTTCCCCATGGTACATAGCTCACAGGATAGATGCGTGTTTTATAGTATTAAGCTACTAAGTAATTAATAAACATAGCCACAATGTGCTGCAAATAGAAGGCAAAAGAGCCAAAGGAAGAGAGACTACAGACACAGCACTGTCCTTTCTTACGCAGCCGGTGCTGGCATGCACCTCTGTGAACAAAGAGCATGTGTTCCAGTGACATGCTTCTTTGTCAGGGGCTTCACTGCCAGAGGCATAAATAACACAGGCAGAACAGGGTGTGTCTCATTGCCCTGCCAACATTTTCTACGGGACTGTCAGTCTACAGGCCTGAAGGGGCTGTTGCCACAGGGCCTGGGTTTTGTATATTGCTGCACTTAACATTACTCTGTGTATGCATCTGTGTGTGAGAAAGAGGTAGAATATTCAGTTGTATCTAATCTGCAGTTATGTCCATGGATTTATGGATTTCAACAAGAGCTGGAAGAGAATAAGGAAATGTAAAAACAGCTGGACCAAACTATGAATGAATTTCTTTTTACTTGCATTGATGTTAATGTTTGACCAGTAAGTAATAAAAATATCAAATAATGCCAGGTTTTGGCACCCCTTGAGTCTTAAAACTGCCTGTTAATCAGAATGGCTATGTATTCCAAAAAGCTCTAAAATGTCTGAGCAGAACACTCTGAGCCAGTTTGTAATTCCTTGGACCTGCATCCTACCCACCTACCTCAGCAACAGCATGTTACTTGTCAGATCAGCTGACCTAAGCCTTCCCTGCAAACTTTGTGGCTGTGGACAGACTTTAATAACTCTGAAGATGAGAGGGAACAACTCTACTCGGTCATTGATTTAACTGGCTCTGAAACCAGCTTAACAGAATGGGCACATTTTAGTAATGACAGTATATGAAGCTGATGTATAATATAGGGTGAGGAAATCATTACTCTTAAACACTTCCGTTCTTCCTGTCCTCTTCCATACATGTGTACATACACTGGTAAGAACATAGCTCTTCCCCTCCCTGGAGTTTCCACAACTTACTGTGTGTGCCTCTATAATTGCAGTTTGGCAACTAATGGTAGTTGTTGAAGGATCTAACTTAATTACAACTCAGACAAGTATTTCTGCATGATAGGAATGGAGAGGAGGACTTTGGGTCCATCTTTAGAATATAGTAGATGCTTTGCAAATGTGTGTTATGTTGAAAATAAAGTCACATGTACTAAAAGAATGCCATTTAGGCAGCTGAGGTTATTGAGACAAGGGGAGAGGGTGAGGCAAATAAGTGAAAATGGGTTAAAGGGGGAGATTCCCTTAGTATCCACATGGTCAAAACAGAGGAGGGGAATGTGTCAGTCGTACAGGAAGCTCTAGGCCCAGTAACCGGCACCTGCCCAGGTTCCTTTCTGCTATCTGAACCAGCTGGAGGTGCTAGGCCCTTCCTGGGGTGGCAAGGAAAAGCTATGACTACCAAGAGTCAGGTCTAATATTTATTAAGCACCATCCTTATGCCAAGTACCATGCATGGGACTTTTGTGTACACTGCTTCTCAGTTAATCCTAGCAACAGCTCCCCGGGACAGGACGAATAATCCACCTTCTTTTAGTGTTTAGGAAACAGACTCAGCAAAACCAAGTAGGTTTGCTGAAATTCACGTAACTACTAAGAAGCTAGATTTCTCTGTCATTAAGGGCTCACTGTAATTCATTCTCATTACTTTGATCCACTAGTCCTCACAACTGCTTCTGAAAAAAATATATATATATTTTCCTGCTTTGAAAAGATTTACTTGCTGTCAGTTACTTTCCCCTACATGGCCTGAAAAAAAATTTACTTGCTCATTGTGCAGGGAAAATTAAAAAATAGAAAATAAATTTAGAAGTTCTTGCCACTGAGATACAACCATCATTAAGTTGTATGTCCTTGCAATTTTTTTATATACTATACATATTGTTTTTAAGTGTTGGGATCAGATTGAAGATTTTTTTAGAAACTTGCTTTTTCCATCTACCATTATGATAAATCTGTATTAATATAACTTTCTTCAGTGGTGTTCCCTTTTTGGAGAACAACTTCAGTGAGATGAGAATCCCACTCCACCACTTACTGGCTGTGTGCTTTAGGGCAAACCACATAGCGTCTCTGGGCCTCAGGTTACTCATCTTAGAACTATGGAGGGTTGGACCCGATCACGTGGGAGGAGCTGTGCCTGTCACTTTTCTCTGTGCCCCAGCCACAGTCACTGCAAGCCTGAGTCCCTTCCTTACCCAAGCAGCATCCCAGAGTCTGCTGGTCTCCTCCAGGGCTAGGAACATTCTGCTGTGGCCATCAGTTCTCCATCTCTGTTCCATGTGTTACCTGTTTGGCTGAAGGGTAAATACGTTTTAAAGTCTCAAATAGTCAGGCTCATTTTCTGTTTCACACAGTCCTTGGTCTCTGTTGAGGAACTTGGAACATGCTCCTGAGCTAGACTGGAAACTATCGAAGTGCCCGTCACCATAATTAGTCAGCATCCCTACCATCTGGACCCTCCCTCTCATACCTCACAGGGATTTCCTTGTCCAGACAGAACTGAGACTGATCCAAGAGTTCAGCTCCTGCTGAATGAACTCTGCCATCTGTTCTCCAGCTTGCCTTACCTGCTCCTGTCCAGCCAGGCACCCCTCTGTGGGCCTCTGCTTTACTCCTCTCTCACTGTAGACACTGTACTAAGATGGCTTACGTGGTCCCAAATTTGCTAGTCTCTTATTGTGATAAAGGCTAAAAGTACCAAATATCCTTATCCTTGAAAATAAGGGTATCTAGGCTCCTGGCTTCTTTGTATGTTTATCTATGCATGTACTTTAGAAAACTTGGAAACTATACTTAGAGAGAAGAAGATAAAAATTTACATCCTAAGGCTTTTTTAAAGGGCCAAGCACTGTTCATGTTTTGGTATCTATTCCTCCAGTCTTGTCTCTACACACATGGCATTTTCTCAAGTCTCAGAAAGTGAGAAGCATCATCTCATTAGTAAGAGCTTCTCAGGAGGGAGGGAGGGGGAAGCTACTACAT